GCCCAGTGAATGTTGGCTTTCGGTAAATCGACCTTAGCAACGTACCATTCTCTCTTCTATCTAGCTTTACATCAAGGAAGTGAAATGAGGAATTCGACTCTTCTTCGACCGTGAAAAGCAAAGATGGGTGAGAACTATTAAATATTCCAAGAAGTTCAGCAGTTGAAGAGTTTTCGTCACATACAATGAAAGTGTCATCTACATATCTTTTATACATAGACAAACTACATTTTTAAAACATTTTTCAATTCACTTATAAAACAATCTTTAATAATTTTGTAATTTATCCACTTCAACTCTACCCCTTATAACATTTTAATAATTGTTATTCTTATCACATATATGTATATTGACTGAGCAATTATTTAGTGCCACTTAATAACCTTTTTTCTGTAATATAAATACGACTGTACAGCTTGAAAATGAAGTCGTTGAAATTACATATTTGACTATCGAAACATGTGATTCAGTGGAAAGGGACTCTTTTCAAGAACGAATTTATTATCAAGCTGTACAGTCGTATATTTATTGTTTTTTATATTAAGAAATTATATCCGATAAGGGAATTGAATCAACGGTGTGAGTACATAAAACAAAGATAGTATTGTAACGGTAGAAGACGAAACACTTGGTGAAGGAATCTTTATTTGCAATTTGGTATCGCTATTATATAGCGAAATTATATACACCTTATCTTCTTCAACGCACCATTTGCACAGATCTTCCGTGGTGTGATTCTTCTACTCTTCCTTCATATTGTGTGTGTGTTCCTTTGTGTTCTTTTCACGTCTCCCATGTATCTCCACAAGCAACGCTGTATCATTTGCTTTCTTTATCATCAAGTCTATCTCCCTGCCGAGACGAGTGTTTTTATAGTCAAAATAAATAAGTAACTTGTTAGAATGTTATGATGTACGTGAATTGAAATAGAATACAATTTAAGATTATTTATTATCCTCCTCTGATTTGACTGACTGACTGGTGGTAATAATATCTTCCATACATATCTCTGGTATTTGCATTAAGTCATTTCTGTTGCATGTATTGGGTGTAGATTCACTCAATGAACCAGGATTCAGTAATCGATCTCTCTCGCTCTCCACCTACCTATATTACTTTTAAGAATTTGAATGAATGAAAATTCACTTGAGCCGAAAAAGGGACTTTGCATTAACTTGGATTTCAAGGGAGATTTGAAAAGTGATATTCTCAAGAGAAGAATTTCAGCATCTTTGAGAAGAAGATTCTTTGCAGGAGCGCGAAGAATAGTGTTCCCTAGTCTGTCATCCATTGATCTGCAGAAGCCTTAAGGATAAGATACCGCATCTGACCACTTCTATGTGCATATATCAGTTCACCTGTTGCTGTGGAGCCAGTCAGGTACATCGGTCGTTCGACGCACACCCTGTCCAAGAGGATTCAAGAACACTATCCCACATGGCTGCAAAAAGGTAGTAGTGGCTGTATAAGGAGTGCGATAATTGAACATCTCGTCAACACTGATCATTCCATTTCAACAAACGCCTCCTGCTTCAAAATAATCTACAAATTGAAGAACAACCTTCCAAAGACAATACACTTCCGTCTCCTTTGTATTGCTGAAGCCTTAGGCATTCAGTTCGAAAAAATCAAAGTTAGAGAATCAAAGAAAGAGAATCATCCAACCACTCCTACTATCATCGTAACAACCGTGTTGATTTCTACTCACTTGATGTTTGTGCGCTTGCTTTTCTTACTTCTTATAACTCTTTTATTTCTTCACAAATCTTACATAATTCCATGCATCCTAATCACGACTCACTCATCAAAATTATCCATCTCATTGCGTAACTACAATACACTAATTCAATTTCTCTTTTGCATTAACAACTCATCACTGCTACCCTCGTACTAATCTTCACCCCACCACCCACCCACCTAGTTACAATTTGAGGTTTACTGAATACGTCAATTCAGTCACTGAAAATCGGGCACAATCTACTATACTGCAACTCACAAAAAGCCTCAAATCCATCAAAGCACAAAAACAGTTTCCTGAAGACCGCTCAAAATTCGTGTCTAACTACTCTTCAGTAGTTTTATCCAACCTGCAGTTAGAAGCCCTATCCATGGGTCCAAAATTCTGCGACGTCAACCTAAACGCCAACAGACTACATACTCATGTACAATTTGAAAACTTAATCACCCAAACAAATGATTTAACTCCAACCTCCGAACAAGAAATGCAGCGATTCAAATCAACAATAATTGATTGCTGTTATCAGTATCTGAATACAAAACCAAAAGTATACAATCACCTAACAAGACAACATAGAGAAGAATTAAATCAACTGAAACAAAACAAAGAACTCCTAATAACCCGTCCAGATAAAGGAGCTGGCATAGTCCTTATGGACAAGAAAGACTATATTGAGAAAATGAACAACATTTTGTCAGACAAAACAAAATTTTCACAACCACCCAATGAAAGAAACAAAACAGAACAGATTGAAAAACAACTCACCGATGTCCTCAAAAGAATGCAAACCGAAAAGTTGATCAGTCATGAAGTCTATGATCAGATCCGACCGACAGGATCAATAATACCAAGACTGTACGGCTTACCAAAGATACATAAAGCCAACCTCCCACTTCGTCCAATTCTCGATATGTCAGGTTCCCCGTACCATCCAATAGCGAAATGGCTAGCTGAAATTTTAGAACCTGTACGAAAACGAATGTGCCACTATTCGCTTCGTGACACTTTCCAATTCGTCGAACACATCAAAGATATCAATGTAAAGAAAAAAAATATGCTCTCCCTCGACACTGAGTCACTATTTACCAACGTTCCACTCACAGAAACTGTCTACCACATTTGTCAATACATAGATGAAAATCAGCTAAACATCGGATTACCGACGACTTGTTTAAAAGAACTACTGCTGAGATGTACACTCAATGTACAATTCACATTCAACGAGGTTATTTACAGATAACAAGATGGGATCGCAATGGGATCTCCACTGGGCCCATTACTAGCAGACTGCTTCATGGCAAGCCTCGAGAACGGCCCACTCAAATCAACTATTGACAATTTCCAACTGTATGTTAGATATGTGGACGACATCTTTATTATCTGTGATGACGGTCACGATCTCAATCAGTTATTGCAAATATTCAACAAATGCCATTCAGCTACAAAGTTCACTCTTGAAATTGAAAACGAATCTAAAATCCCTTTTCTTGATGTTGAACTTACAAGGAGAGCTGACGGAACTTTAAGAAGGTCCATCCATAGGAAACCCACATGGAACGGCCAACTGACAAGCTTCTACAGCTAGGTACCAATCAGTCGGAAAAGAAACTTAATTAGATCTCTTGCCACTCGCGTCCGACGCATCTGCAGCTCTGATACCATGGAAGAAGAACTAAACTTCCTGAAAGAAACCTTTATACAAAACGGTTACCCATCAAGATTCGTGGACAAAAACATCAAACGAAAAACCCAACAGCAAGAAACAGCATCTCTGCCAAAAAAGATACTTTATATGAACCTGGACTTCAAAGGAGACCTACTCAGTGATGTCCTTAGAAGGAGAATCTCCACCACTTTAAAGAACTTTCTCTGCGGCAACATTGAGAGTAGTCTTCTCTAGTCGCCCGCTGATCTGCAGAAGCCCAAAAGACAAGATCCCGCACCTGACCACTTCTATGTGTATATATCAGTTCACCTGTTGCTGTGGAGCCAGGTGCATCGGTCGTTCGACGCGCATCCTGTCAAAAAGGGTCAAAGAACACTATCCAGTGTGGCTGCAGAAAGGAAGTAATGGCTGCATAAGGAGTGCAATAATAGAAGACCTCGTCAACACTGGTCATTCCATCTCAACAAACGCCTCCCTCAAAGTAATCTACAAAGTGAAGAACAACCTTCCAAAGACAGTACGATTCCGTCTTCTTTGCATTGCAGAAGCCCTAGCCATTAAGCTAGAAGAACCAGAACTGTGCATACAAAAGAAAATTATTCAACCGCTTCTACTCCCATGGTAGCAACTGTGTTGATTTGACTTAATTTTTCTTTGTTTGTTTGTTTGATTTGACTTAATTTTTGTTTGTATGCTTATTTTTCTACTTAAAATCCTTGTGTAATTCCGCATATTTTTTTCCATGTACACCCTGAGTACAACTCTTTCATTAAGCTATTCATAATATTACGTAGCTCTTCTTTGACAATCGTTTGTGACAACTCATCACTGATGTTACTACTCTCTTATAACAACATCCAATTCATCTGAACTTACTAATGGTATTTTCGTTTGACAAATTTAATGTACACACACATACAAAACAACCATATATATTTACGATTGTACAGCTATGAAAATGAATTCGCCGATGAAAGGAGACTCTTTGCTAAGCTACTTGTTTTATTTTCATAGCTTTCTTATTACGCTTTTTCCATTAAAATACTACTATTTATATTTATGAATAATTAGGAACTTGTGTTTCTTAAACTCCATAACTTGAAGAAGGTGATTCTTTTTCCTGTTACCGTGAATGTATCTTTGAAAACCTTTCAGCTGAACTTGCATATTAATTTTATGATTCTCACTCTGGCTATTTTTTTTTATTCCTTAACGTTCCAAGTGGAACATAGGGCTTCAAGCTAGAGGTCTGAAGTTTCGGTAGTAGTGGTGATTATTTTTACGGGATGGGATTGCTAGCTGCCTCATGCCAAACCTTCCCTCTTTACCAGACTTATTACTGACTTAGTGAGGTAAAGGAGTGCGTCCAGTGGCCGGGGATCGAACCAATCATCCTAGCACTGTGCCACCGACGCACAAATCATTCCCCGGGATGAGACCCAAGTGGCCTAATGGATAACGATTTTGGCTGGCGTTTGAAGTGGTGAGTACACGGTTCGAGTCTCACAAGGGGAACACCATAACCCACTCACTCCCTGGGGATTGTAGGCACACCCAACTGATGAGTCCCAAACAAGATTCCACTGGTAGTCACCATCTTCAGAGAAACAAATACCTCTGGCTATTAGCATTATTATAATTATGACAATTTTATAAATTCACGGAAAATCGCCAACCAGGCATTAATGAAAACAAAACACGTAGTGTTCAGCGAAGAGTCTCTTGTCGGCGGCGAATTCATTTTTTTACCTGTACAATCGCAAATAATAATAATTTGCTTTATTCCAAAAACAGTACTAATGATACAGCAAGGAATTTTCAGCATTCAGTACAATATTGCATCTAATTTACTCAAAAACGACAACAACAAAAAAGAAATAAAAGAAATAATCATTACATAATAATGATAACAAAACGTTTTTATAGCAGCTATTTAGCAAATTACTGTAAGCAGTACGGAGAAAAATACGCATAAAGTATAAAATTATAGTAATAATAGTAATAACAACTAAAATAAAAATAGCAAAGTTATAATTAAACGATAGAAAGGGTGACACCATAAAATTACAGAAAGATGAACAATGAAAGGGTCGATTCACTATGCTAATTACATAGTAACTTATATGTTTCACGTCTAAAAGAGTCTTCATCACATAAAATACGGGCTAAATACGGTATTGTAGAATTTTTGTACTTAGTGGTACGAGCATATAACTTCTTATATTGACTTCTCGTCCTACCTGATGAGATACAAGGGGATAGTTGTGAACAAAGAGGGTGCAGAGGGTCTGACAGTACGGCCTTTACCCACTTTGTACAGGAATTTACGTGTCTCTCGACTATAGTATTGGCGAGCTCACGCAGTGGCAAACCACAAGCCCTGCTCACAGCATTTAATACCCTTCGTAATATGACATAGTCTTTTTTAAGAAGCCCAGGAAAGATTAATGGAGAACAATAGAGTACAATAGGTAAAATACAGGAGTTTAAAAATTGCAGAACTAAAGGTTGGTTGATACCTGATTGTCTTAACTTTTTAATGTAGAAGGTAAGACGAAATATTTTCTTAGACATTAGTAAGATGTGGGATGACCATGAAAGGTCAGAGGAAAGAACTTATCCAAGTTATTTTGTATGTATGTGCACATTAAGTTTGTCAAACAAAAATACAGTTGGTTATTGGTTATTTTAACTAAAGGACAGGGGTGAGAATCAGTAAGTAATACAAAAACCGTCAACCAAAATTGGTTGTTTCAATGAAACTAGGCTAGTAACAAAGGTGATGAGTTGTCACAAACAGTTGTTAAAAAGGAGTTACGTAAATAATATGAATAGTCTGATGACTGAGTTGTACTCAGGATACACATATAGAAACAAAGTAGAGAATGCGAAATTACGTAAGAGTTCTAAATGAATATACAAGAATTATAAGCAATTAAAGAAACACGCAAGCAAACAAAATTAAGTCATCAAAATCAACAAAGTTGTTACCATGACACTAGAATTGGTTGAGTAATTCTCTTTTGTATGCATAGCTCCGGTTTTCCTATTTGAATGGATGGCCAGAGCTTCAGCGATACAAAGGAGACGAAACTGTCTATTTTCTATTGTACAGCTAGGAAAATGAATTCGCCGCCCAAAAAAAGACTCTTGGCTGAATACTATGTTTTGTTTTCATTAATTTTATATATATGTTAGTGTGTATCACACCCCTCTTTGGAAATTCCATACAGTTGGGAATAAGCCAGAGCTTATAGTGCAAGGAATATTGCGATTGCCCTCTAACCCAAAACATCAGTAGGTGGAATTGGTTTCGTGGTAGAGCACGCTGACCGCTTCACTTACTTGGGAAGTACCATCAGCCAACGCCAACGGGTTGATCTCTGACGAAATCTCAGCACGGATAGAGAGGGCTAGTTTCGCATATGCCAGTTTACGCCGTCTCTGGCTGGCCATCGACCAAAGGGCGTGTGTACTGCTCAACAGTCCGCTCCGTCCTCTTTTATAGCTGTGAGACCTGGCCATTGAGAATGGAAGACATGAAAAGATTAGCCATCTTCGATCATAGGTATCTGCGTTCTATCTCCCGCGTGAAGTGGTATAATAAGGTGAGCAATATTGAGGTTAGGCGTCAAGTGCTAGGTGAGTTGGAGGGGAAGCCAATCGACGAGGCTGTGAAATTACATCGACTGAGATGGTTAGGACATGTGTTACATGTGCCTAGTCATCGCCTTCCTCAACGGGGAATGTTAGCTGACATAGGGTCAGGCTGGAAAAGAGCTAGCGGTGGTCAAACCAAAAAATGGCACCAGTCAATGAAATATACAACAGTTAGTTTAAGCCAGCCACGTAGGGAGGGAGGTGTAGACTTCCTGGTTGGGTGTGTTCGGGACGGTAAAAACCAATGACTGGAAACAATTGGTGACATGACTCAAAGTGATCGTTCTCAATGGCGCAGATGCATCCACTCCTTGTGACTCATGATTTCCAATGAAACTGTTTTGTTCTTCGTTGTTACTATTCCTTTGTCTCACACCTCTGTTTACTGTCTCGATTATGCATTTATTCTACTTTCTTCTCTTGCTTTGTGTGCTACATGAAGGGAGTGTGGCGACTTGAACTGCCGCAAATTGGTGCAAAGTTCAATGTCGAAAACAGACAGACAGACAGACAATCGGTTTCGAGCCTGTGACACAACGGTTGACAGTCAGACAGCCTATATATATATATAAATTATATTATCTAAATTAATTTAATTTTTCACATTGTTTTAATCATCTGTAATGCCATGAAACATTTGTGATAACAATCCTTCTTCGTTTCTCCTCCCCCTCCTCGTCTCTCTCTCTCTTTCTTTGCATCAATGACCTTTACAAGTTCCCTGATAAGACTGCATTCCGGTCGATCACTTGAGAGAATGACAATATCACCACCAATGCAAGACGGTGCTATGAATACGCCTAATACACCACAACCACCACCAACAACAACTACGACTACTTTTACTAAACGGGTTACTCATAAACCAAAACTGCCAACTAACTTTATCCTGAAAACAGAGGATGAAACAAAAGTGGAGGAGAATAAATCAGAAACCAATTGAACATTCATAAATAAGCACACACACTGTACAAAAATATCTTTAGAGAAATAAGAAAGAGAAAAAATAAGGAACCACTTGTAGTATTTATATTATCCGTCACAATTATTACTATTATTATCACTACCATACTGTACAAAGTATATAATACATTTAAACAACAACAACGACAAAAAAAGAGAAACACTGTGTGTAATAACTAATTCAGACTTTTTAAGAGTGTGGATTTGATTTGCTTTCCAAGGTTGACAACATAGGATTGATATCAGATAGAGAAGTATTGAAAACCAGCGGGGGAGTACTGGACAGCTACTAGCTGGGACACATCGGCAGTACGCACCCATCAAACGGGTTTCGAACCCAGGACGTTCTGGGTAGTCAGAAGTTAGAATTTATCGGCCTGCCATTGAGTAGGGTCTAAGTGGCGGAATGGTCTACCAGAAGGTCCTGGGTTCGAAACTCGTTGGTGGGTACGGACTGTCGATGAGCCCCAAACTAGAGTGATGAAACAGTTGGCTGTCCCGTACTCCCTGGATTTCATCGTATGATGATGAGGAAATTAAACCTTGTGGTTATTCGTGGACCTAGCTAGAAAAGGAGATAGCAGCGCAAAGAGTGAAGTAATATTTAGCTTCTGAAACACTATGTTCCACTACGAACCCAACAGACCAATAGTATTTGGTGTAGTTGTGTTCTCCAAACTGAATGGTTTAATTGGGAAGCTAGCTTTCATTGTTTAACTCTAGACAACATCCTCAGCGCATACTTCAATCAATTTGAAGGATGATTCTAAAATTCTACATCAGTTTATCAGTCATCTATCCGGGTAACTCTGAAGGTGACTGGCTGTTTTTGTGTATTTTTCTTCAGCCTCTAGCTTATTTGTATTGGTGTCGACTATTCTGTTGACACGAAGAAAATAAAAGACATGTTCAGCGAATAAAATTTCCTTTATCGACGAAATCATCTTCAGAGGCTGTACAATCGTATTTATACTTACAAAATATTTTACAAAAAATTTTAACCTTATCAAATTTCTATCTTTTTGCCGTTGAGTACCACGTAATTTTCAATTTTTAATTTTCACTTCTAAAGCCACTTCTGAGTAATTATATCAATTATGTCACCCCCTATTACTCAATAATAGACCACTATATATTTTTGTAAGTATAAATACGATTGTACAGCCTCTGAAGATGATTTCGTCGATAAAGAAAATTTTCTTCGCTGAATCTGTCTTTTATTTTCTTCATGACTCAATGGGTATTTTCGGTGATTTGAAGCAGAGCAAGAACCCTATTCTGTTGAACTGGATCTTGGCCTTTTCTTCATATGATTTCTTTTCTATGGATTACCAGATCTTATCTACATCAATGTGTCTGTTGATTGGCGATCCACCTGAATACCAAGAGTTTAGAAATTCTCTAGTGTTTCCTCTGTCTATAGTGCTGTGTACATGTATTGATATGAGGGGATGGATATAATGTCTTTTGACTGTCAGTTCATGTTCGTGGGTGCTAAGATAAAGGGGGTGTTGTCCACTTTGACCAATGTAATGTTTCTCATAGTCGTTGAAATTCATCTTATAGATGATGTTGGTTTTGTTTTATGGTTGATATAGTGTCGGTGGAGTGAAGTAATTTTGTTGGTTTGTGAGTGCCACGAATCGCAAAAGCTTTGACTAGTGTTGTAGTGACTTCGGAGATGTTCTTCATATATGGTAGTTGAATTTTCTTTGTGCTTTCATTGGAGACCTATGATTTGTTTTGTTGAGTTGAGGGTTAATGTCTTTTGACGAATTTGAGTGGATATCCACTTTTTGAAGACCTCCATAAGGTATTTCCCTTCTATTTTCCTGAAGGTAAGAGTTCTGCGATGCATTCTGGTTCTCTTGAATAATGTTTGTATGCAACTCATTTTATGTGCTACTGAGTTGTTGCTATTGTAATTAGGTATTTGATTTGTGTGAGTTGATTTTCTATCCGCTTGACTATCTAATTTTCCTGCGATTGTTCGCTTCACATTAAGACACCTAAAAATGTAATTTTGACCTCAGATTCCTATCTCGTGTGTATTTGATGTCGTTGAGGATGCTGTTTATTAGGTTGTGAGTATTGTCGTAATCGTTTCTTCTGATTATGTGACGAATGTGTCGTCTACGTAACGTATCCAAATTTTGCGTTTAATCTTTGGTAGGATTATGTTTTTAAGCCTTTTCATAAAAGCATCAGCAATCAGTCGTGATTTTCAGATATTGGTTTGTAGGGATTTGATTGATTGGTTACAGGATTTGATAATGAGCTGACATCGGTTGGAGAACCATTGGAAAACCAGCTGGGAGTACTGTACAGCGTGGTCGGCTAGCATTCTACCGCTGTGCCAACGCAGGGACTGAAGCTTCGTAAGTAACACACTTATATTCGCATAATGATAATGCTAATTGAGCTGGCGGTCAATTTAGTAGACAAGGCAGATGACAATTAGTGACATTAGATCTCAGCAAAAACTTACAGATATATATATATATATATATATATATATATATATGTATACTTGATCATGAGGAACATCTGCTACGAAGATGATATTTCTTAGTTGTTCAAACATGGATTGTTGCAATCTACTATGCACATAAAATTCATCGATTAAATAATGGAGTGATAACACAAATATGAAGAAGAAAATGTAGATGGATTAGATATATATTGAGGAGCCTGTTGAGTGACATTTCAGTGGAACCCGACTGGGAAGTAGTAGTTTCGGCATGAGTTCGAGGTTGATATTAGAGGAAATTATGTGAAGAGAGAATGAAAACTTGTGGGCAGTCATGGAGCCAGTGGAAAGGGACTGTACAGAATATGGTCGAATGGAGATGTGCCACTGAAGCTCTATTTTTCACCTGGAACCTAACTGGAGAATATTTTTCAATGAGCGTTGAATAACTTGGTGAAATTAATTGTCGAACACTTTACTACTGAATAGTAAAATGAGTAGTTACTATTGCTGCAGGTATGTTGACGATACGTTTGTGGTTTCTAACAATATAGATCACACACATCCACGATGATAGAAAACCTCAGTGTGCCTCACCCTCGCATAGCATTTACAATGGACCATGAATGTGGCAATCAGTTCCACTTCCTAGATCTCAACATAAAAAGAAGAAACTATAGGATAATCGAAAAATTCATCTACAGGAAAGAAGCTTGGGCTGGCCAATACTTGAATTACCACAGCTTTTGTCCGATCGGATGCAAATGGAGACTGGTGAAAAAGCACTTCAGTAGAGCTAGGGTGTTGCGTACAGAAGATCAAAGAGGAACTCGCAGTCATCGGAAAGAACCTTATGGAAAATGGATACCCTCAGAAGACCATATCAAAATGTGGCAAAGATAAAATCACCTACACCAAAATCCGACATAATGGAAAAGAAATCAGTGTTTATCTGTCTAGCGTACGAAGGCAAAGAAGTATCCATAAGAACGAAAAACAGAATTAAAGGTGCATTGAAAAGAACATTTCTCGCCGCCAGACTCATTGCACTCTACAGCACAGTATGCTCCTTAACCCAGTCAAAAGTAGATAACTATCATGCTCTGTATGTTAACTCCAACTGCGTTTGCCATTTCACCTGCACTCACGGCATATAGTACTTAGGAAGGAAGGACTGAGAGGAGGACAGTGTCTACTAGATTCTCCGAGCATATCCCTAAAAGTCTCCATGTGATAGGCAGCAAAGTGTTCTCGAGTGCAATCGCCAGACACACGTAATTGACACGGGACAACATACAGTGGAAATTAGCTTCAGGTTTTCAAAATAATCAATACACGAAGATAAGAATGGTTACTTCGGTCCGCAGAAGTCATTGTCATCAAAAGACTTCGATCAAACCTATGCATAAAGAAAGATAGTGTGACTAATCCCTCACTACCCTACCTGGTTAACCATAACTGTTTTATTCGTGTGGTTTTGTGTTTTGTTCTGTTGCATAACATTCCACTCAATCTTGATTTTGATTTTCACTCACTGAGTTGAACTCACTATTAAGGTTCCAAATCTACTAAATTAAACTATTTTATCTATTTTATAATTTTACTTCACTATTCATCCCCACCACCACCTTCCTGAACTCTCCACCATAATATGTATTAATTAACTCTCTTGTTCTATCTTGTTTGTTGTCTGTAGTCCATCCTTGTTTCCAAGCGAGATCTGAACTCTAACTACCCCCTTATCTAATTACTACATAAATAGTTACTCTCTTTTAACATGAAATAATTCGACTACTTACATCATATTTGAAATTATGTTGCCTATACTCACTACTTTGTATCTATAACTTGAAGTCAATGTGAAAAGTATGTTCATACACCATTTTGTAACTTATAATTGATTTTTTTATTTAGGATGTACGCATTTGGAAAGAGAGAATTCACGAAATAAAACGAGTTCGTATTATTCTGCAAATATCTGTTCTCCAGTCGCCCAGTGATCTGTAGAAGCCCTAAGGATAAGATCCCACATCTGACTACTTCTATGTGCATATGTCAAATCACCTATTGCTGTGGAGTCAGGTACCTCGGTCGTTCGACGCGCACCTTGTCCAAGAGGATTTAAGAACACTATCCAGCATAGTTGCGAAAAGGTAATAGTGGCTGTATGAGGAGTGCAATAATCGAACATCTCGTGAACACTGGTCATTCCATCTGAACAAACGCCTCCTGCTTCAAAGTAATTTACAGAGTCAAGAATAACCTAACAAAGGCAATACACTTTCGTCTTCTTTGTATCGCTGAAGCTCTGGACATTCACAGAGAAAAACCGGAGCTGTGCATACAAAAGAGAATTACTCATTTACCACTTCTATTATCATGGTAACAACTTTGTTGATTTTTTGATGAGTTTATTTTATTTTTTATTTTTTTATTTTATACAAAAACACTTTATAGCCTTTCCACTAGTTCCTGTCCATTATACACGAGATTATTGATTATTCACTACC